TGGCCAGACCCATTGCCCAGACCTGTTGTCTTATCTCAAATACAAGCTAAAACAAAAACAAAAACTATAACGAGTTTCTGCTGTAGACATTCGTGTTCGGATAGAATAGAAAAAACGCGTTGACGTCGGCATCGCGACGGCGTCGTTTGAACTGCTGCGACATTGCGTATACGACACATGGGACGGCGACGTGAACAGCTGTGTGGCTTTCTGCCAAAACAAATAACAACAATGGCATGAACCGCAACAATGGCAGCAACAATAACAACAACAACAACAATGTCCAAACGTGTTGCTGTTGCTGTTGCTTTGCTTTCTTTGACACCTCAGGCTTTTGTTTGCTCGTCAAAACGCCGCCACCATGACTGAGAGGAAAAAATACAAGTGAGCGAGCACTTACTTGTATAATAAAATGGAAACCGAACATTTCTGATGAACTCTGTTCAGTTTTTGGGGCGCGGGCGGGGGATGGCCCGCAACTTGCAATGCATTTCAGTCTACATATGTATGTATATATTCGTATATACTTGGATTTTTCATTTTGTTGCTCGTGCCTGGGCGCGTTCGCGTTGCTTTTTTGTGTGAGTAATAAAAAGCGCAAGCGCAAATATCAACACAGATTCTTAATTAGTAATTGCGCGCATTTAGTGCTTACCTATGTATGTGTGTGTGTGTGTGTGTGTGTCTGCGTGTGTGTGTATTTTTATGGCGCGCTGTTACTATAATAACAAAATATTCAAGTGCAACAGCAAGGCAATTAAAATGACAGACGAGTTGCTTGTTTGTGACTTAATGTTGTTGTTGTTGTTATCCATGCTTCTTAAACTGTTGCTACGCGCATGGCACGATTTTGTTATTGTTTTCCTCCTTCTGCCTTTTCTTGCATTTACTTCCGAGAAATTAAACTACTTTTCCAATTCTCTGCAGCATTCAGTTACCAAGTTGCAGTTGTTGGCCAAGTTAGTTGCAGCCATAAATCGTTAGACTTGAAAATAAGTACTAGTAGCTGCCATTATCTTTTCATTTGCCAAACAAATTAAACACAAAGTAGTACAGATATCTATACTTAAGTCAAACAAAAGTGAATTGGAATTGGCATTAATTCTTTCCACAAAATGGATCGCATCTGAAGCTCTTTAATGCTTCTATATAATCATAGTTGGATTATATACTTATTGTTCAGAATTTTTGCTGTTAACAGAACTAAAATAAAGTGCAGCTGTATATTTGCAAAAAAGATATCAAAAGCAAGTCAAATTTTGAGTAAGTTGGCAAATAGAATCGGTTTGAATGAACGCTATATTTGAGACAAATATTTGAAAATAAAAAAAAGCAGCAAATACCTCGGCAACAGTTTTGAATAATTTATAGGCAAGTATTGTAATGGGCAAAAAAAAAAAACTGAACTCAAGCATCAAAGGACTCCGCCCGGGTCAACTAGAGCCTTCCAAATAAGTTTTAACTGTTATCTTTGAAGCCCATTTAATCTTGAACTCATTTCATAATTGTCCTTATAGGACGGATCTTAAATGAAGCAACAATTCAAAATAAAACATCAAGTTTAGTTTGAAATGAGAAAAAAACAATGAATTCTTTCGTTTGTCCTTGTTTTTGTTTTTGTTTTTGTATTTGTTTTTGTTCGCTTATCATATAGATATTGATTTGATGCACTGTTTGTTTGCTGGTCAGTTGGTGCTACTGTGTGTTAACTACACATGCGGCGTGCGTGATCGTGAGCGTGTGCGTGCGTGCATGCGTGATGTCATTTGTGATAAGGCCAGGGCAAAGGCCAGTGCTCTAGACAATGTTCTAGCGTACACGAGCGCAGACACAAAAGCAGCGTAAACCCGCACTTCCTGTCTACGATATAACGATATAACGATATATATAGTTAGTATTACGCGTGCCCGTCGCCGATTTGGCCTTGGCAACAATTAACAAGAAAATGGAGCCAGCGAATTGTTGTTATGTGATTTGTTTTATGCCAAGTTTGTATTTTTTAATACAGCGCTTGTAGAACTTGAACAAGTACGCCACAGTTTCTTGTTATCAATAAATATTACACATACGCAATGTTGTCCAAGGCATTGAGCCAATGAATAGAGCACAATAAAACAATAAAAAAGTATAGTGAGCTGCTGTTAACAAACTTGGTTGCCACGGCCCACAGAAAATCTAAACGAAGAGGTTTATGGTTGACCATTAAAGCTCTCTGTATTCTCTATTCTAGGGGCCACGTTTTGACTATGAAATTATTTTTAGTTTATGTTTCTTGTGCGCAAAACATTTAGAATTAAAAAGAAATATTTTAAAATCAGCAAACGTGATTTTCGGCTATTTGACCCAGAAAAGGGGTAAAACGGTGATAAAAAAATAACATCTGTGGGTTTCTCATGTGTCAGAATTATCGTTTCTTATACTGATTCTCAGCTGAGAATTATTTTTATTGTATTTCTTAAATTCTTTTTGGGAAACATCTTAGTGAAGTAGAAATGGAAGTCGATGAGCTCCATAAAAGTTTGAAAATTCTATTTAATTTAAGCGTCTTTTTTGTCGGCTTCAAAATCTTACTTCAATATATATACTTCCCTAAAAGGAAGTTGACTTTTAGAATTGCAAACGTGATTTTCGGCTTTTTGACCCAGAAATGGGGTAAACAGGCGGTTAAAAAAAACTAACATCTGTAGGTTTCTCATGTGTAAGAATAATCGTTTCTTATACTGATTTAAATAGCTCAGCTGAGAATTATTTTTATTGTATTTCTTAAATTCTTTTTGGGAAACATCTTGGTTCTTTTTTTTTGCAGAAATCTCTTAGTGAAGTAGAAATGGAAGCCGATGAGCTCCACAAAAGTTTGAAAATTCTATTTAATTAAAGCGTCTTTTTTGTCGGCTTCAAAATCTTACTTCAATATATATACTTCCCTAAAAGGAAGTTGACTTTTAGAATTGCAAACGTGATTTTCGGCTATTTGACCCAGAAAAGGGGTAAAACGGTGATAAACAAATAACATCTGTGGGTTTCTCATGTGTCAGAATTATCGTTTCTTATAATGATTTACATAGCTCAGCTGAGAATTATTTTTATTGTATTTCTTTTTGGGAAACATCTTGGTTCTTTTTTTTTTTTGCAAAAATCTCTTAGTGAAGTAGAAATGGAAGCCGATGAGCTCCACAAAAGTTTGAAAATTCTATTTAATTTAAGCGTCTTTTTTGTCGGCTTCAAAATCTTCCCTAAAAGAAAGTTGACTTTTTGAATTGCTGCAAGTTGAAGGTTTTCATTGAACTGGTTAGTGATCCGATTTGATCGGCTTAGTGGAACAGCATCTCCACGATATGCTACATCTATTTACGGTATTTTCAAAATATACGCTAATGTTAAATCTTTAATGAGCGCATTAGAAATCCATAATGAAACCCACTTGAATGGGCAGCATTTCAATGCCGTCACACACAGGCCGAGCTCTTTTGGGCATCATTATCATTATCAGTACGATTTTACACACACTTCCGAGCACACATTAACAAAGTTCAAATCGTTCAGTTATATAACACAAGTCAGGCAAGTGCGTAGCTAGCAAATGCGTCGCAAAATAGAAATAAAAGCAAAGCAAAATTCAAATTTGTTGAGAAATGTGATCAGTGAAAAAAAGCGCGCGCTTTTATGATCTCTCAGCTGCCCTGATTAGTATTTAAAAAAAATAAATAAATAAGAAAGAGTCTCATTTGATTGGCTGTATAATTCAAAGACATTGACGTTGAACTTCTTGGCGAGCGAACGCCAGGGCCAAATTATTTTCTAATTATTGCTAAGCGATATTTACAGTGCCCGAGAAATCGACTACAATAGCAACAACGTATACATTTGTAGGTCTGCTGATGGCGCCCATAAATTACCGGCGTACTCACAACTGTCACATCGAATGGGAATGGGTTTGTCCGAGATTAGATAAGAGCTGCTAAGTCTATTGCCATGTCTAGGCCGACCGAACAGTGGCTCCTACTTTATTCCTAAGGGTCAAAATTTTATCAGGCTCCCACTGCTCCTATTTCCGCAAGCAATTAAAAAAGACACGAATTAAATCCAGCAATTACGCCTAATGAGCATTTAGATTGCTTTCAATTAAAGATTCTGAAGTGTTTTTATTACACATATGTGGGGTAATCAATATTTTGTTAAAAAAAAACACAAAAAAACACAGCAATTTACGGTCAACAAATTTGATTTCGTCACATCTTTTGAATACAAGCGGAATTTGTAGATCGAAAAGACTTCAGTGGAAAATCTATTTACTTCTCAACTAATATCTGTGAGCACTACCTGTAGCTTTTATATATTCATGATGTATTCATTTCCTATGAAAGTTTATTTTAAATTGTTTTTAAAAATCCTTGTTACAGAATATAGAATTCCATAACTAAATCTGTCGTGTTTTCAAATTGTTTGAAGTGTTAAATGAACACGAGCCATGCCTTTCTATCAACTTCTCAACAGGTATATAATTCTAATATGAGAATGATATGATAGTCCACTAGGAACAGATTTCGATTCCAATAAATATCTAATATTAGAAAAAATTGCAATATATTTCAAATGTTTTCAAGCACTTAGTTGTTCTTATAAAACGAGTATTTCTAGAATGTATACAGAATGTATAATAATGTATTCATATCGGTTTATTAATAGGAATGTTTTGGAAAAGTACCAATAACATTCTGCTACAAAGCATTTATATATTTGTGTTGAAATTATCAAAATTTTTGAACGATATTCAAGAATCTTTAATGGTTTTTTTTTTAAAGAAATCTATTAGCAGTGTCAACCCCACTCCAAACTATTTTACACACATTTAGAATGATGTTTAAGACATTCCTACTCATCTACTATATGTCTGCATCTGCATTAGTAAATATAATAATAATAATAATAACACTGGCACATCGCTCCACATATAAGAATTCTATGAATTCTATGCTGGGAATATTGTGTTTTGCACTTACCGCTTGGACTTTGCGGTATGAAGTCTAGCGTGCGATCCTTGCAGCGCAGATCCTCGCCGGTGCCATCGATCCACACATAGGTGGCTTGGACGACATTCTCCTGCAGCGGCAGCGAGAGATAGCGATCCAGAATGGTCTTGTTGATGCGCGCATTGGGCGAGTCTTCCAGAATTCTACCAGACATACTGGATATTAGAGACGATGGGACGGGACGAGGCGAGGCGAGACCAGTGGTGATGGCAATTGTGGATTGAAGAAATTAATAATAAATCAAAAAATAAACAATTAGCTTGGCACACTTCTAACGTTTGGCGCGTTTGACGATAAAAACCAAACAGATACAAAAAAAAATTCATATGCCATGCATATGTACGAGTATATGAATATACATATGTATATGTACGACTATATCGGAATAAGCTCTAGGAAATTGCAACTTTTATGTTCTGTTTTTTTTTTTTGTTTTTTTGTTGTTGCTGTGGACTGCGCACCTGTGTGTGTTTTGTTGTTGTTGTTGTTGTTACAGCTGTGACTTTTTGCACACGTCGAGGAAATTCCTCCTGCTTGCTTGGTTTTATTGGAATATATATATAGATCTTTTTTTGAAATATATATAAATATTTTACGATTTGGTTGGATTTTGGATTTTATTTTGATTTGATTGAATGTTTTATTTGTTTGTGCGAAATGCGCGGAACCGTTACTGGAACACGACTAAGCTGGAACGCGTTCTTTCAACTCAATTTATAACGACGAACAAAAATTGAAAATGCAACAACAACAAGGGCAGAAGCAGCAGCAGCAGCAATAGCAATTCGTCTGTTACTGCTGCTATTTACAACAAACTAAACGGCAAAACAAGAACCAGAGGCGGTCCCCAGTAGAAACAAAAACAATAACAACAGCAACAACAACAAATATATATCAACAGCTGTAGTCGCAGTATCTATCGCGGCAGCGGCAGCGCAGCGCAGCAACGCCAAAGCCCGCGTCTCTATTCTAACTGCTGCGAAAATCTGCACTGCTTGGCTTTTGTGGGTAATGATCGACTCGCAGTCGCTTTCCGCTGCTGCGGCTAACGCCACTGCTCTGTCGCTGTCGCTGCCTTCCGTCACCAAAACGTAGTCAGCGCCGCAACAACAACAACAACAACGCCCACCACAACAGACGACATAGATTAACAACTAAGCGACGTTGACGTCGTTGTCATCAGCAGCGTCAGCGTCGTGGTCGGGCTTTGTCGTTTGTTGACGACACGACGCGACGCGACGTTGTCGCTGCTCGGCTCGATGGTTGTTGTTGTTATTATTATTGTTCTATCATCGCATTTAAATCGCATGCAAACGTTTCCTGCTCTGCTCTCTTTTGCCTTTATTATCGTTTCTATATCCTATTTATTCATATTTAAATATGGAGTTCATTTCCCAATGCAATAATTCCAATCATTGACATAAATATAGTTGGGGGTTTCCAGCAGATGATTATTCTGCTGAAGGTTAATTTTCAAAAACAAAATAATTCTTTTCTATTCTTTATTCTGTCCATTGTCAATGGCCGTTTACCCGATGCATTAAAGGGTATACTAGAATGTCTAAGTTTTTTATACTGCCTCACAATAATAAGTATATGAAAACCATCGTAATCGGCCTAATGTTTCAAAATTGTTTCTAAAATGATCTAAGTGATCTAGAGCTGCTCTACGACTATCGAATATTTCTTTAAAATATATTTCAATCATTAAATAAAATTTAGTCAAGTGAAACCTATTTTATAGAAATAATTTTAAATATAAAACACTGATCCGATTATCTTTAAAAGTTTACTTCCTGCGATGAAACTTGATATAAATGAAATAAATTATAAATATGACAAAAAAAATGTCAATAATTAGAGAGGGAGTTATGAAAAAGTCATTAATACAGGAGGAGTGGGGGGGGGGGGGGGGGGGGGGGGGGGATGCATCAGAGAAAAAAACACAAACTTTTTTTTGATTGATTTTGACAATATGCAGTTAAACTTTAAAAATGTTTTTGAATTTTCATTTTAGGATAAACTGATCTCGAACCAACATTGTAATTATTATCATCTTTTTCAATTACACAAATGCACTTTGAAAGATATTCGATATTTGAATTAAATAAATAAAAATCTATAAATTTTATTAATTTAAAATATTCTAATAATTAAGCGGATTTCCGATTAATGCCGGATTTCAATTATGTTCGCAAATTGTTTCTGATTCCCTCAACAAAAAAAAAAAAACCAAGCCAATAATTACAACAATATTGTTTATTTTTCAATTTATTTTTAATTTATTAAGCAGGCTGTTAATTGCAATGAGTTGTGTTTCTAAAATGCTCTGTCAGTCGATATCTTCATGCAGTGCGAGTCTATAATTTAAATGAATATCATCTGTCTGGCATGTGATAATGATGCGATAATAATGATAATGAGAAACCGGAGGCATCTGGTTTCAGTTGCCATTTATTGTTCTTGGGTCTTGTGTATGAGTTCTCGTTGAGATCTAGTTATATGCTGTTTCTATTAGATGGTTCTGAAAAGTGTCATGAAAACTCCCCCACTGTTTCAATGGAATACAAAACCCAATTCAAAATACATATATACCATAAAATTGCAATTATTAAATGGGGGTTACGCATTAAATGATTAACTTTCATTATTCCATTTTGGTGTTGTTTTTAGCATAACTTGCATAAAAGTGTGCACTATTTAGAAATATTTAATAAAGTCGTGTACATATACGTATGATTCATGATTGATAAGATGGTTTTTCTAATTCAATTGATGTAAATTTCTTGGTTAGTCTGTCGCTATGAGTATCAATATCCTATGATCTACAATGACTAAAGAAACGAAACTTCAATATTCCTTTTCAAAACCTAGGGAAACCAATTTATATTGCATGAAACCCCATAATTTGTAATATCAAAATCCTTTGAAGGGGAGAAGTGTGACTTCAAAATTTACTATTCATTTGAAAATGCTAGAAAAAAGAATTTATTTTCGTAAAATCGAAAAATGAACCACCAAAGCTACCGAAATGTGACTTCAATTCGCTATTCGTTTAAAAGAGCTAGAAAAAATAACTTTTTTCATGAACCCCCAAAAATTTGATATACTTAATATCCCTTGAACGGGAAATTTCACTTGATGATTATCCAATGTGAAAATGCTAAAAAAAAAGGTTTTCTTTTCATGAAACCAAAAAATAATTATTTTTTAAACCTTTGAGCAACAAAGACTGATTAGTGTGACTTGATGATTAACTGTTATTTTTAAATTGTAGAGATAAGAATTCCTTTTTCCTTATTTTATATAAACTACAAATTTACTGTAACTTGTCTATTTATTTAGATATAGAAATAGCACCCTTCATAAGAATTATGAGGGCAAAAAAACATTTCTAAAGAAATTTACTTTACAAAAATGTTGCCTTTATGTTTTCAAAAATTACAACTAATCTTAAAAAAGAAACAATTAAGAATGATAATTTGAAGTATTGCTTATAACTAAGTTTTTATGTTCTTTTTTTTTGTTTGTGCTATTTGTTTTTAGAAATTTCTTTCTACAGTAATAGTTCTAGGAATTATTAGTGGTAAGAAAAACATTCACAACTCCTTACATGAGTTTTCCCAAACAACTTTTAAGCAGAGCATTTTATTCTCAATAAAACTCATAAGCAGAAGAGATAATGAATGCAAATTTGGAATATGATATATATTTCGTTATTTCACCAAAGTCGAGATAATGTAAAGATTAGGATTTGGAAATATATTTCAGACTTTTAACAAAATCTGACTTCTTTCTACATATGTATGTGTATTCTATTTAGTGGTAACAATATTATTTCTCAGTATGTATGTAGGTACGTATTAGTTTAAAGCCACTTCTAGGAAATAGGTATTTAAAACAAGAAAGGAATGCTAAAGTCGAGCAGGCTCAACTCTTAAATACCCTGTACCACCCCACAAAAAAGTAATTAAATTAATTAATTAATTTAATTAAATTAATTAACTAAATTAATTTAATTAATTAACTAAATATTAACTAATTAAATATAAAATATTCCATGCATGCATACATACATTTACAATTACATCAGAATCGTGTCTATGCGTGTTTGTGTACTTGTACATATGTATGTATGTGTGCATTGAGCCTGGTTATATGGCTATAACTTTCTTTCCGATCATTCTATCATAATGAGACTTGGTATACGGTTATATAATTACTAACCTAATGTGACTACCAAATTTTAGTTCAAAATTCTAAGAATTACGGGAGTTATAGAAAATCAGTAATAGGGGGGGAGTGGGGGGGTGGATCAGAAAAAATGAACAAACTCGTCCTTTCTCGGTCTCAGGAGAATCTGTATACCAAGTTTGGTTATTCTAGCTCTTATACTTTCGGAGATCCTTGCGTTCATACAGACAGACAGACGGACAGACAGACGGACAGACAGACGGACAGACAGACGGACAGACAGACGGACAGACGGACAGACGGACATGGCTATATCGACTCGGCTTGTCATGCTGATCAAGAATATATATACTTTGTGGGGTCTACCAAGCCTCCTTCTGTGTGTTCCATGTGCACTCGCACTAAACTAATATACCCTTGTACCCTTTGGGTACAGGGTATAAAAATGTATGTATGTAAGTATGTATGTACATATGTATGTATTGCTCTGCCTATTTTTAGATAGAAACGTGCAAAACTTAACTGGCATTATTAATGACTTAATTCCGATGCGTTGCTGCACTCAACGAGTGATATATGTATGTGTGTGTGGGTGTGTATACATACATATATGTATGTAGGTGCATTTATGTAGATGTGTGTATATTTGAGACTTACGTATGCATTGTGGCCGTGTTTTTTCTGCTTATCGCACGCAAAAATCAGAATGGAAACTCTTCTTAAGCTGTCCGCGCTATTTACTCACACACAGTGGGTGAGGGATGGAGAGAGAGAGAGAGAGAGAGAGAGCGGCAGGGAGAGCCAAACTAATTGCTGCACTTTAAATTGTTTTGATAGAATCACGAGATTACGAAAGTTAGGCAAATAAAAGATGCACGCACGCACGCACGCGTAAACAGATCGAAGCGGGTACGAGTGGATTGTGGTATTTAGAACGTGTTTGTTGCTTTAATTTGTGTTTTGTTTTGACTCGTGATTTGTATGCTTTCCGTTTCGGTTTTTGTTTCAGTTCCGAATTCGCCGTCTGCTCTGTCCGGAATATATTTCTACTGCCTGCCTGCCTGACTGAGACACAATAGCAATTCTTTTTTTAGACTGCGCACATTTGGCGGCGATTGATCTGCTTTTATAGCCTGTGAGACTTTGCACATCGCCTGTGCATGTGTGATTCGATTTTTTGATTATATACATACATATTGTACATACATAGGTATATAGTATGTTTATACATATGGAACAACACACAATAAATGTGCTAATTACCTTTTCAAGATTCTCACACTTGAATGCTCAGTTCAGTAAAAAGAGATTCATACAAAAAAAAGAAGAAGAAAGAAACACCTAAATATTTAACTTCGTCGTTGCTTGAGAGCCTAGGTTTGTCATTATTTTTATACCCTTACCTGAAAAAATACAAAAATAACCGACATGATTGGACAAATCGATCCCGACATGTTCGCCC